CGACACAACTGGGCCCCAATTTTCTCCAGGCAGAGTTCAAAGTCCTGGTAGTCACTCCCTCCCAAGCCCTACCTATAAGGTTATGCAATGGAGGATGCTGAAGTGTTCTCTCCAAAGTTCCCTTAGGGTCAAGTGAGTGTCTGTGGTCATAGTCAAGCACCTGTGAAACATTGCTTTTGTGTAGTTTTTTTTAAAGTTTGCAATGACCTGCTGGTCCATGGGCTGGAGGAGAGGAGTGGTATTCGGGGGCAAGAACTTTACTGTGATGAACCCAAACTCCTCGAAAATTAGGTCATCCAAGTTTGGAGGATGAGCAGGTGCATTGTCCATTACTAACAAGCACTTGAGATCCAATTTCTTTTCCAGGAGATACTCCTTCACACTAGGGCCAAACACTTCATTGAACCACTCGACGAAAATTTCCCTCGTGACCCACGCCTTACTATTAGATTTCCAAAACACACACAATTTACTCTTCATAACACTGTTTTTCCTGAACACTCTGGGATTTTTTGAATGGTACACTAGTAATGGCTTCACTTTGAAATCCCCACTAGCATTAGCACAGAAGATTAGTGTCAGCCTGTCTTTCATAGGCTTGTGTCCTGACATTACCTTTTCCTCTTGTGTAATGAAGGTCCTCTTTGGCATTTTCTTCCAAAAGATGCCTGTTTCGTCACAACTGAACACTTGTTCAGGTTTCAGTCCTTCACTGTCTATGTACTCCTTGAATTCCTGCACATATTTTTCAGCCACCTTGTGGTCCGAACTGGCAGCCTCACCATGCCTTACCACACTGTGTATGCCAGTACGGTTCTTAAATCTCTCAAACCAGCCTTTGCTGGCCTTAAATTCACTCACATCACCACTATTTGCAGGCAATTTCTTTACCAAATCTTCATGCAACTGCCTAGCCTTTTCACAAATAATCGAAGTCATAAGAGTATCTCCTGCTAATTGTTTCTCATTTATCCACACCAATAATAACTTCTCAACCTCTTCGAGTACTGGTGATCTCATTTTTGTCAGCATAGTTACCCCCTTTGCAACAACAGCGTCCTTGATTTCCTTTTTCTTGGCCACTATGGAACATAAGGTTGTGTAGGGTTTCATATACATCCTGGACAGTTCGGCCACACTTGTACCACTTTCATATTGTTTAATGATGGTTTTCTTAAATTCAATCATATTTCTCACCTTCTTTACCACAGGCTTGGCACTAGGAGCTTTCTTTGGAGCCATGGTAGCTTATTTAGTCCTTGCAAGCACTAAAATAAATTGAATATTATGAAATATTTCGCTGGAGCACGTGAGGGGACCTTCGCTCACTGGTAAACAATGCCAGACTGGCTGCCGCCACGGCTCATGCCGTGGGTACGTGTCCGGGACGAATTACGACTCGCGAGTCAACTTATGAAAAGCGAGTCCATGTTTATACGAAAATAACCCTATGACTGGCGAAATTTACGATTGCCGGGAACTACGAAAAGCGAGGGACCACTGTATAACGATTACCTCCGAATGCGACCAATTATGTAAGTGTATTTATGTAAATGCATTTGTACGTGTATGTTTGGGGGTCTGAAATGGACTAATCTATTTCACAATATTTCTTATGGGAACAAATTCGGCCAGTACTGGCACCTGAACATACTTCTGGAGTGAAAAAATATCGTTAACCGGGGGTCCACTGTATATATATTTATTACAGAGTACAAGTTGAGTGAGGGGGGAGGAAATAAGGGGTAGTACATATGTACACGTGTGTGCATCTACTCACCTAGTTGTAGTTGCAGGGGTCAAGTCATAGCTCCTGGCCCCACCTCTTCAATGGTCATTACTAGGTCCACTCTCCCTGCTCCATGAGCTTTATTGTATCTCTTCATAAAGCCATGTATAGATCCTGCCTCCACTACATCACTCTCCAGATTGTTCCAATTCCTGACAACTCTACGACTGAAGAAATACTTCTTAACATTCCTTTGACTCATTTGAGTTTTCAACTTCCATTTGCAACTATTGCTGCTGCATCGCATCTCTGTGTATCCACCTTGTCAATTCCTCTTAGTATTTTATATTTCGATATCATGTCTTCCCTCTCTCTCCTGTCCTACAGTGTTGTTATATTGATTTCCCCTAACCTCTTCTTGTAGGACATACCCCTTAGCTCCGGGACTAGTCTTGTTTGCAAACCTTTGCACTTTCTCTAATTTCTTGATGTACTTGACCAGGTGTGGGTTCCATACTGGTGCTGCATACTCCAATATGGGCCTGACGTACAAGGTGTACAAAGTCTTGAACGATTCCTTACTCAGGTACTGAAACGCTATTCTTAGGTGTGCCAGGCACCCATATGTTGCAGCAGTTATTTAATAAGGTTGATGTGTACCTTTGGAGATGTGCTTGGTATTATACTCACCCCAAGATCTTTTTCCTTGAGTAAGGTTTGCAGTCTTTGGCCTTCTAGCCCGTATTGTGTCTGCAGTCTTCTCTGACCTTCCCCAAGCTTCATGACTTTGCATTTGGTGGGTTAAACTCCAGGAACAAGTTGTTGGACCAGGCTTGCAGCCTGTCCAGATCCCTTTGTAGTCCTACCTGATCCTCCTATGTTTGAATTCTCTGTATCAGCTTCACATCGTCTGCAAACAGGGACACCTCTGAATCTATTCCTTCTGTCATGTCATTCACATGCACACCAAAAAGAGCACCGGCCCTAGGATTGACCCTTGTGGAACCCTGTTCATCACAGATGCCCACAATGACACCCTATCATGCACCATCACTTATTGTTTCCTTCCAGTCAGGTAATCTGACCCGTTGCAGTGCATTTCCTGTTATTTCTGTCTGCTCCTCTAGCTTTTCCACTAATCTCTTATGCAGTCTACCCAGCGCGCTCTCTCCTGCCTTACTTCTGTCACCTTGTCATAAAACTCCAGTAGGTTTGCAACACAGAATTTCCCCCTCCCTGAAATTGTGCTGGTTATCGAGTATAAGCTCCTTCCTTTATAGGTGCTCCACCAGTCTTTTCCTGATAAGCTTCTCTATGGCTTTGCATATTATACATGTCAGTGACACTGGGCTGTAGTCTAATGCTACCTGCCTATCTTCTTTCTTAAAGACTGGGACTACATTTGCTCTCTTCCATACCTCTGTGTTAATAGACATGTTAAAGATTGTTGTTAGTGGCACACAGTGCCTCTGCTCCTTCTCAGGACCCAGGGAGAGATGTTGATCGGTCCCACTGCTTATGAGGTATCTAGCTCACTTAGCAGCCTCTTCACCTCCTCCTCGGTTGTGTGTGGTGTGTCCAGCACTTGTTGGTGTACTCTTCCATCCCAGTTTCCTGGAGTCCTGTCTCCACTGTAAATACTTCCTTAAATCTCGTGTTGAGCTTTTCATATACTTCCTTGTCATTTATTGTGATCTCCCCTACCTCCTTCCTCAGCCTGATTACCTGGTCTGTGATTGTTGTTTTCCTCCTGATGTGGCTGTACAACAGCTTTAGGTTAGATTTGGCTTTTGATGCTACATTATTCTCGTATTGCCACTCGGCCTCCCTCCTGATCCATGCATATTCATTTCTGGCCCTTCGGTTAATCTCCTCATTTTCCTGGGTCCTTTCTTTTCTATACATTTTCCAGTCTCTAGCATACTTAGTTTTGGTCTCACTACACCTATGGGAACCAAGGGCTCATTCTGGTCTTCCCACTGTTTCTCTTGTCCTTGGGTATGAACCTCTCTTTTGCCTCACTGCATTTTGTGGTCATGTATTCCATTTCATTTGCAGTTTTTCCCACCAGTTCTCTTTCCCACTGTACCTCATGCAGGAAATTCCTCATGTCTGTGTAGTCCCCTTTTTTATAGCTTGACTTTTCCCGCCGTATACGTGCTGCTTCCCTCTCCACTTTTAACTCTACAATATATTCGAACCTCGGGATCACACGATCACTCGCTCAAAGGAGCCTTTCATGTGATGTGTTCAATGTCTGAACTACTCAAGGTGAATATGAGGTCCAGTCTTGCTGGTTCATCCTCTCTTCTCTCTGGCAGTATTCATAACATGCTTGATGCATGAGGTTTTCCAGCACCACCTCTATCATTTGGCTCTCCATGTTTGTGGTCCCCCCCATGTGGCTCCAGGTTTTCCCAATCTCCTTGTGAATGAAATCACCCACACCTAGTAAATTTGCCCTACCATATGGGCCCTTCTGGCCACCTCAGCTAGTGTATCCACCACTGCTCTGTTCCTCTCATCATACTCTTGTCTTGGCCTCCTGTTATTCTGTAGCGGGTTGTACATCACTGCAATCACCACCTTGGTACCCCCAATTTGAAGTGCTCCTATATGTAGTCCCTTCTGTCCATTCCTTCCATCTCAAAACTTCATGGGTTTTTGATGAGCAGTACAACTCCTCCCCCACTATTCCCTCTGTCTTTCCCCAGGATCTGATATCCGGAGGGAAAGATCGCATCTGTTTTCATTTATCTCCGTTGGCGCTATGATGTCTGGGGATGCCTCCATGATTCTTCTGTGCCAATTCTCACATTTATTTGTTATTCCGTTTGCGTTGGTGTACCATATCTTCAGTTTCTTTTCCAATAATATTTTTTTTTGGTGTGGGGGGGGGGGGAGAGTGGGATATCTGGACCAGGATACTGCTGGAGGCTGCTGTGAAGGTGGAGTTTGTGGTGCGGGGGGAGGGGGACTGTGGATTGTTCTGGGTTAGTCTGGTTGCGGTGGGGTTGTCGGGATTGAGTGTGTTGTGGGTGGTTCTGCGGGAGGTTGTGTTTGCCGGTCCTCCTGAGTCTGAGTCTGAAGCGCACTTCTAGTGCCACTGAGCTCATCCTCTCAAAACACTAGTTTAATTAAATGCATGTTACTCATACTATCTTCCAAACATATTTCAGTTATACCTGGAAATATAACTAATTAAAATTACTGCTAAAAAATTGTTAATCGTGAAAAGTTCTCAAGTATGCATTACCATGCAAATACTCACTATTCAGCAAGAAGGGTATATTCTAAGAAGTAGGGACTATAAGAGTGGTTGCCTTTTGGTGTGGAAGTTCGGCGGTCAATCATCTTTGCTGCCATAGACAGCTGCTGGTCCATGTCTGGTACTGTGGGCAGCACCTAGCATTTGGGAAGAACATATAAACAGTAACTACATATACAATAATGATTAGGAAGAACATATCTGCAACAATTATACATATGCCACAGAGAGAGGGAAGAATATACTATGTTGAGTAAAAGGACACAACCGCAACTAATGCGACATTTTATAGTGCCCACGTTTCGCTCTCCAGGAGCTGTCAAGCGAAACGTTGCCACAATAAAATGTCGCACTAGCTGAACTTGTGTCCTTTTACCTTTTGTCGGTAATTTTACTAACATTATTACAAGAATATATACCATATGTATAATAATTATACACTACACGGTATACCACAGGGAGAGGGAAGAATATACCATATCTACACTAACTATACATACAATACCCAGTATACCACAGGAAGAGGGAAGAACATAGCTGCACCTGGATGATAAATACTGTAAACTCATCCAAACGGAAAACATTCAATGCAACATTTTGGAAAAAAAAAAATCCTGTCTACAAGTACACGTCAAAATTACTGAATCCAAAGTAGAGAAAAAGGATGAGGGTGAGTTCCTAAGTCTGGTAGTAAATAATAAATTAATGCATATTATCCAGCTCATATAAAAATATCAAAAACTGTAGGTATCTTTCCCAAAATTTGGTACTATGAGGGCACGGACAGAGAGAGAAAAAGAACACTTTTCTTGAGAGAGGGAACATGGTAAGAAAAGTAATGAATGTGCATGCCACTGTGCATAGGCTTGCCATAAACGGAAAAACGAAAAACCTGTAACCGAGCAAGCATTTGTGACACTCAGTTCCTTGAATCAGAAATTTCCATTCTTCGCAATTCGTTCTCTTGTTTTGGTATTGTTCCCTAATCTACATTACTAACATTCTATAGTACTTTACTCTCGTTTACCTATACTTTACCTATGGAATGTGTGCTAGGGGTTCTGTCTCAGCTATCCACTTTACCTATGCTGTGTATGCTAGGGGTTCTATCTCAGCTATCCACTTCACCTATGATGTGTGTGCTAGGGGTTCTATCTCAGCTATCCACTTCAAACAAATTATCACACAACAAAAGGCAGCTATAAGAACCATCACAAACTCAAATTTTGGGCAACACACTACATTCAAACCCCTAAACCAAATATAAATATTAATATCATACACACTGTTCACTTCATATCATCTAAACTACACTGCAATGTTCATAATGAACTAAGACACTTCTTGGTAAACTATAATAAAATACTCAAGGATCATACTCGGAACAAATACCATACTGTACCACTGATATTCATGTTCACCTGAATCTCAAGAAACTTAATGCAAAGGGCCAAAAATGTGAAATAGTTTGCCAGATGAATTTTAAAAATGTAATTTAGTAAATTCAAACAAAACCTTATAAAAAACTATGCTTAATATCTTTCCCTGAAATTTTAACTCATTAAATTTCATTAAACTTACTACAAAGTTATCAACTACGCATTTTTTTTAAATTTAATCACATCTCCAACCATTATTTTATATGGCAGACCAGAGGCCTAGCTTCTCCCTACGAGCCCCGTGAGGGCGGGGAATGTGGCTAGGCCTGGGGACACTTGGTCCCAAAGATGAGGAGGTACTTGTACCTCCTCCCATGGGAGACTTAAGTCTCGAGACACTCCCCAGATAGGGAGCCAAGGCCGGGTCACCACTACTTGGAAAAGACCCGGGCCGGGAGAATACCGGCGAAGAAAAAAAAAAAAAAAAAAAAAACATTGCTTAAGTATCTGCCTCTAATTATCTTACCTTTGACATACCTTTGAAGGGTTTCAAGAGTGTCTACTCCTGGGCCAGACTGTACATGCTATGTCCAACATAATTTTTAATTTTCATAATGTTAGTACTGGTTTTAGTTTAAGACTGCCTGAAATGCTAATCATAACCAGGAGCTTTTCCTGGGGCAAAGTTATCAGAAACACGGCTGGAACAAGTGTGGAAGCCTTCAAGAGGAAACTGGACAAGTATCTTCACCAGGTGCCAGATCAACCAGGCTGTGATGGATATGTGGGGCAGCGGGCCTCCAGTGGCAACAGTCTGTGATAAATGGTTTAAAACTGACAAGTTGAAGATTGAGACACTTATGCAACATATAGGAATCTTTACTGAAGAAACGTTTCGCCACACAGTGGCTTCATCAGTCCAATACAAATCAGAAGGGTGTATGGAGAGGAGGGGAGTTTGAGGTAACCAGTCCCTCAGCCTGGAGTCGATATGTTCAGTCCATCAATCTTGTAGAAAGTACACCCTTCTGATTTATATTGGACTGATGAAGCCACTGTGTGGCGAAACGTTTCTTCAGTAAAGATTCCCATATGTTGCATAAGTATCTCAATCTTCAGCAACAGCCTGGCTGACTGGGCAAGCACCAGACGAGCCTGGCCCATGGCCGGGCTCAGAGAGTAGATACTCTCTCGAAACTCTTCAGAGGTATATCAAAGGTATAATATACAAATATCCTATGTAAAAGTGTCTGGAAAGAACATGGCTGCATTAACTATACACAGACTTGTAAATACACATACAAGTTTTTCACTGTTAAATGCCTAAATTATCAGAGAAGTTTATTCTCACAGCAACTGTCTGCTCAAGGTAATAATGGAGCAACTAATTATCTCATATTCCCCAGATATCTAAACCCCTGGTGCTTCCCCACGAATATAATAATATTGTTATCCATTCGAAGACGAAACCGGACAATTTCAGACAAAATGTGGGACTTTTCATGGAGGAGGGTAAGATACATGGGAAAACCAGTTAATAGGAAAACAATCCTGGGAAAAGCAACAGTTGCCTTCAGGAAAATCCAAGCCCACTGTAAGCACATTAACATAGTAGCGTACACTGCTGCACCGATAGTGTATTCACCCCGTAACTGATATAACCCGGAGGAATTCTCGGCGGGAAGCGACGTGTACGTATCTGTGACCAGTTTCTAGAGTCTGATACCCTCGTTGCCCAGCCGGAGGCCAGATGTTCTCAATAACTCTTAGCAGCCCAAAGGCCACACACAGCCATCAATGTGGTATTACTCCAACCCTACCCACTAACTTGAGGAAAAAGCGGGGAAACACGAGAGATTTCTTACAGTATTTCTTCTAACTCAGGGGCAGGGGTAGGGAAAAGCGAGCCAGGCAGGCAGGTCTCAGACTCTGATTAAGGATAGAGATGAGGATAGAGAAGCTGCGGCTCATTTTTAAAGGTTGCAATTACTATGCAAGCTATTAAATAAGAAATACACAGGCGAATGTATGAATTCATAACAAAACAATTTTCTTAATTCTTGACAGTTTAGCTTCAAGCAAAAAAAAAAAAAAAGAAAAATCAATAATAATACAATAACAAATTCTTGATTCACTCTACACATCCTCAAAAAAACAAATATCCAACAGGACTCTCTACTGATCTAAAAATGTATTTTTGGTACAGCAGACATCTTTAAAATAACATCCTTAAAATAGCACAGCATGGAATAAAAATCCACGCAATCTCCTACATATGGTATTACTTCCATTACATACTCCAACACTTGACTATAAATGACGCCAACATCTCTAATCAGCCCATCAACATAGGGGCGTAGGAAGCCTGGTGGCTAAAGCTCCCACTTCACACACGGAGGGCCCGGGTTCGATTCCCGGCGGGTAGAAACATTTCGACACGTTTCCTTACACCTGTTGTCCTGTTCACCTAGCAGCAAATAGGTACCTGGGTGTTAGTCGACTGGTGTGGGTCGCATCCTGGGGGACAAGATTAAGGACCCCAATGGAAATAAGTTAGACAGTCCTCGATGACGCACTGACTTTCTTGGGTTATCCTGGGTGGCTAACCCCCTGGGGTTAAAAATCCGAACGAAATCTTATCTTATCTTAGGACCAATTTTATTTCGACAATTTTATTTGCGGAAGACGCTACCTTTGCCATCTCCAATCCAGATACGGTTGGCCTCAACAGCACAGTCAATACTGAACTAGAAGAGTTCTGTATCGGCTTGGATGGCAACAAATAATCACTCGATAATGGTGAGACCTACTACTATATAGAGTTTTGGGAAAACTAGAAATGTTCAACTAAACAAAAATATGGTAATACACTGAAATGCAATGTGAGGGGAAAAGTCTTAGGTATTCAACTTGACTCCTTCCAGAATACACTATGTACCATAAGCAACACCACTTACTACTCTAATCTAGACCCTTACCTCACCTAAAGTATATTTGCATGGAATCTATAACAGCAAATAATCGAACCATAATCTGCTATTAGAACAAGCACTCAAAATTCCGAACATTTCCTTACCCCCTCCCCATTTAAAGATTTTAATCTATCATACAAAGTATCTACACAAACTTCTATGCATTAAAATTACACGGAACGCTCGTATCAATATTAACTCTGAGTTAAAACAATTCTAAAGAGTTGCAACATATCACATGGACATAACATTACAAATATTTTCTCTCTGATGTTCCACGTGTACGACTAAAACTGAGCAATCACTTCATCCAATTTAAAGGATCCAAAATTTGAATAACCTGCCTGAATGGTGAAAAACTCTCTAAATAATTTCAAAAACATTGTTAAAAATGATCTTAAACCTGGTGCAATATTTGATTGATATAATCTGATATATAGTTTTATATGTAATGATCATAAACCCTAGCTTAATGGGAAGGGGGTGATGAGAAAGATTGTTTTGTTTTTAGCCACTTCTCAGTTCTGCCATTGCTCTCTTAATACAGTAAACTGCTGTCTCACTACTTTAATCATAATCAATATATACTTAGAAACTGTAGAAGATAAATTGTCTTATAAAATTACTATTCCATTTAAGGTCAGCAGTTTCGTACCTGAACAGCTATGCACTCAGCTCTCATACTGAGTGCCTGTGGTTCGATCCCCGGTACAGGTGGAAATTTTGGGCATGTTTCCTTACACCTGTCGCACCTGTTACCCTAGCAGTAAGTAGGTACCTGGGTGTTAGTAGATTGTTATGGGTAGCATCCTAGCGGGTGGTAAGATAAGATAAGATTTCGTTCGGATTTTTAACCCCGGAGGGTTAGCCACCCAGGATAACCCAAGAAAGTCAGTGCGTCATCGAGGACTGTCTAACTTATTTCCATTGGGGTCCTTAATCTTGTCCCCCAGGATGCGACCCACACCAGTCGACTAACACCCAGGTACCTATTTGCTGCTAGGTGAACAGGACAACAGGTGTAAGGAAACGTGTCGAAATGTTTCCACCCGCCGGGAATCGAACCCGGGCCCTCCGTGTGTGAAGCGGGAGCTTTAGATAAGAACATAAGAAGGAACACTGCAGCAGGCTTACTGGCCCATGCGAGGCAGGTCCAATTCACGCACCGGCTTAAGCCAATGCCTTAATGTAGTCAGGTCAGGTCACATTCGGTAAGGAAGGAGCACAGCAACTGACCTAGTAGCACAAGCTAGTCAGATCCAACTCACACCCACCCGTGTATTTATCTAATCTATTTTTAAAACTACACAATGTCTTAGCTTCTATGACGGTACTCGGGAGTTTGTTCCACTCATCCACAACTCTATTACTAAACCAGTGCTTTCCTATATATCCTTCCCGAATCTGAATTTTTCCAGCTTAAATCCATTGCTGCGAGTCCTGTCTATGCTAGATATTTTTAGCACGCTATTTACATCCCCTTTATTAATTCCTGTTTTCCATTTATACACCTCAATCATATCCCCCCTAATTCTGCGCCTTACTAGAGTGCAGATTCAGGGCCCTCAGTCTATCCTCATAGGGAAGATTTCTGATAAATGGGATCAACTTTCTCATCCTCCTTTGTACGTTTTCCAATGCATTTATAGGGCTGGGCTTTGAAAGAGTTGTAGGATAACGGCTCTTAGCCTGTAAAATTTGTGTGTAAATACAAGTTTTAAGTATTTAAAGTACCGTATTATCTTCAGTTTGCCCGAAATGTTTTACACAACAATGGGCGTTCCAAGATACATACATATATATATATGTCGTGCCGAATATGTAAAACTGGTCAATTAGCGAGAACTCATTTAAAATTAAGTCATCTCTAAAATTTTCTCTTATACGTTTAAAGATATATTTTTTTCATTAATGTTGATGTAAAAATTTATAATTTTGCACCAAAAGGAACTTAGAAAACTTACCTAACCTTATTAAAACAAGTGCAATTTATTTTAGCCTAACCCAACTAAATATAATTTAGATTTGTTTACAATAATTTAATACTAAACAAACACAGTGAAATATATTTTTTTCTTTAGGTTCAGAATGATTTTGGCAAAATTATTGCATACACAAATTTTCACTTGTCCTATATGGCAAGATGAGCGTTGCTATTTAAGCCAAGATCGCAAGTTCTGCCTATTCGGCACGATATATATATATTATATATATATATATTATATATATATATATATATATATATATATTATATATATATATATATATATATATATATATAATTACAGTGATATAGAGATAAGCAAATCTCGAAACTGTAACACGTACTGTATTTTCAAAATAAAATTTGTATTTGCCTTATACTTAAGAGGGTAAGAGGCAGGCCCTGACCACAGGTGCACTGATAGACGAAGTGGAGGTTAATAAGTGAACGGTAGTAGACTAACTAATTTTAAGTGTATCTCGTACCAGTATTATCTGTACTGTATTCCAATTTCTCAATCGAGTAATAGATCACTGTAATAAGTACATATACCTGGAGTATACCTGGAGAGGGTTTCGGGGGTCAACGCCCCCACTCCCAGTAACCTTATTACTAAGTGGCACTTTCCAGTAGCTGTATATTACCATATTTTCATTATTAATTTAATAAGTTACTGTATTCCCTTTTATATACGTACAATATATATATTTTATAAGCATTATTTTCCTAATATTTAATCACCACTTGAGTGAAGTTTAAGTGGTGAAAGGGCAGTATTCATTTTGGGAAGTGGAGAAAATGTTTGCACTTCCTGGTACATCATCACAGCCTGGCTGTTCAGGTACTTGGCTGCAGGTCGTCCATTTTCATCTTGAGAACTTTTAATTTTCTTCCAGCAATATTTCTTACATCTGCTAGTAGAAGGCAGAATGTTGACAGTGTTCTCAAACTGTGCTTAATCAACTCCCGCTTTTCGCTGAACTTATTGTAGACTTTCATATCTCCCACATCTTTCCTTACACCTGCTGTATCTGTCCACCTAGGAATTAGACGAGTGATGTGGTTCATGTCCAGGAAAGTAGGGAGCTGGGAGTATTTTAGATAATAATAATAATAATAATAATAATAATAATAATAATAATAATAATAATAATAATCATAATCTTCATTTCTACTACATGTACAAGGTATACAGGCCTAGCTGACATCAATGACATATTACTATATAGAAAACCCCTTGTTATGCAGAGAATTTCGGGAAACAGTAAATTTTGTCCCAGGGTGCGACCCACACCAAGTCGACTAACACCTAGGTACCCATTTTACTGATGGGTGAACATTGGACAGCAGGTATCTTAATGAAACACGTCCTAATGTTTCCAACCGTACCGGGGATCGACCCCCAGACCTCAGCGAGTAAGCAGTGCACGCTAGCAATCGAGCTGCGAGATACCTTAGGGCTACGCTATGAAATGGGCTGAAGCAGGATAACAACCATTAGCTTGTAAATTTAAATGGGTAAAAAAAAAAATAGTACCATACCGTACCTGCTAGGAAAAGACAAAACCTACCTTACGTAAACTGCGACGTGTAGAGCCACTGCGTGTGAGGCCGCCACTGCTGCTGCTGCTTCCCACACCATTCCCGTCACTGCTAACGTTACCACCCCCGCCGCCGCCATCCGTCGGGCCCCCGCTGTCACTGAGCTGAAAAGAAAGGAAATAAACCAAAATCAGCTCATCTCGTTTCACTTTAAAAAAAAAAAACACACACAATCACTTTGTGTGTGTGTTAGTTACCATTTTGTCCTAGGCACATGTCGATTAGACACTAGGCCTGTGTGTGGTGTGTGTGTGTGTGTGTGTGTGTGTGTGTGTGTGTGTGTGGTGTTGTGTGTGTGTGTGTGTGTGTGTACTCACCTAGTTGAGGTTGCGGGGGTCGAGTCCGAGCTCCTGGCCCCGCCTCTTCACTGATCGCTACTAGGTCACTCTCCCTGAGCCGTGAGCTTTATCATACCTCTGCTTAAAGCTATGTATGGATCCTGCCTCCACTACATCGCTTCCCAAACTTTCCACTTACTGACTACTCTTTGGCTGAAGAAATACTTCCTAACATCCCTGTGATTAAACTGTGTCTTCACTTCCAACTGTGTCCCTTGTTACTGTGTCCATCTCTGGAAACATCCTGTTTTTGTCCCCTTGTCAATTCCTCTCAGTATTTTTGTATGTCGTTATCATGTCCCCCCTATCTCTCCTGTCCTCCAGTGTCGTCAGGTTGATTTCCCTTACCTCTCCTCGTAGGACATACCTCTTAGCTCTGGAACTAGTCTTGTTACAAACCTTTGCACTTTCTCTAGTTTCTTTAGGTGCTTGGCTAGGTGTGGGTTCCAAACTGGTGGGCCGCATACTCCAATATGGGCCTAAGTACACGGTGTACAGGGTCCTGAACGATTTCCTTATTAAGATATCGGATGCTGTTCTGAGGTTTGCTAGGCGCCATATGCTGCAGCAGTTATTTGGTTGATGTGCGCTTCAGATGTGCCTGGTGTTATACTCACCCCAAGATCTTTTTCCTTGAGTGAGGTTTGTAGTTTCTGGCCCCCCTAGACTGTACTCCGTCTGTGGTCTTCTTTGCCTTCCCCCAAACTTCATGGCTTTGCACTTGGTGGGATTGAACTCCAGGAGCCAATTGCTGGACCAGGTCTGCAGCCTGTCTAGATCCCTTTGTAGTTCTGCCTGGTCTTCGATCGAGTGAATTCTTCTCATAAACTTCACGTCATCTGCAAACAGGGACACCTCAGGTCCTATACCTTCCGTTTATGTCATTACAAAAACCAGAAACGCACTGGTCTAGGACTGAAACCCCTGGGACCCCGCTGGTCACAGGTGCCCACTCTGACACCTCGCCACGTACCATGACTCGCTGCTGTTTACTGACAAGTATTCCCTGATCCATTGTAGGCCCTTCCCCGTTTATCCCTGCTGGTCCTCCAGTTTTTTGCACCCAATCTCTTTTGTGGAACTGTGTCAAACGCCTTTCTTGCAGTCCAAGAATATGCAATCCACCCACCCCTCTCTCTTTGTCTTACTGCTGTCACCATGTCATAGAACTCCAGTAGATTTGTGACACAGGATTTCCCGTCCCTGAAACCATGTTGGCTGCTGTTGATTGAGATCATTCCTTTCTAGGTGTTCCACCACTCTTCTCCTGATAATCTTCTCCATGATTTTGCATACTATACATGTCAGTGACACTGGTCTGTAGTTTAATGCTTCATGTCTGTCTCCTTTTTTAAAGATTGGGACTACATTTGCTGTCTTCCATGCCTCAGGCAATCTCCCTGTTTCGATAGATGTATTGAATATTGTTGTTAGGGGTACACATAGCGCCTCTGCTCCCTCTCTCAATACCCATGGGGAGATTGTATCTGGCCCCATTGCCTTTGAGGTATCTAGCTCACTCAGAAGCCTCTTCACTTCTTCCTCGGTTGTGTGCACTGTGTCTAGCACATGGTGGTGTGCCCCACCTCTCCGTCTTTCTGGAGCCCCTTCTGTCTCCTCTGTGAACACTTCTTTGAATCTCTTGTTGAGTTCCTCACATACTTCACGGTCATTTCTTGTTGTCTCTCCTCCTTCCTTCCTTAGCCTGATTACTGGTCCTTGACTGTTGTTTTCCTCCTGATGTGGCTGTACAAACAGTTTCGTGTCAGATTTGGCTTTCGCTGCTATGTCATTTTCATATTGTCTTTGGGCCCTCCCTTCTTATCTGTGCATATTCGTTCTGGCTCTACGACTGCTCTCCTTATTCTCCTGGGTCCTTTGCCTTCTATATTTCTTCCATTCCCTAGCACACTTGGTTTTTGCCTCCCTGCACCTTTGGGTAAACCATGGGCTCATCCTGGCTTTTTCATTATTCCTGTTACCCTTGGGTACAAACCTCTCCTCAGCCTCCTTGCATTTTGTTGCTACATATTCCATCATTTCATTAACTGGCTTCCCTGCCAGTTCTCTGTCCCACTGCACCCCGTTCAGGAAGTTCCTCATTCCTGTGTAGTCCCCTTTCTTGTAGTTTGGCTTCATTTGTCCTGGCCTTCCTGCTTCTCCCTCCACTTGTAGCTCTACGGTGTATTCGAAGCTTAAAACCACATGGTCACTGGCCCCAAGGGGTCTTTCATATGTGATGTCCTCGATATCTGCACTACTCAAGGTGAATTCTAAGTCCAGCCTTGAACATTAAAATGGTATAAAATACCGACAGATTGTTAGGTAAGACACATATGCAACAGTTAGGTATCTTTATTTCGAAACGTTTCGCCTACACAGTAGGCTTCTTCAGTCGAGTACAGAAAAGTTGATAGAAGCAGAAGATACTTGAAGACGATGTAATCAGTCCATCACCCTTAAAGTTTTGAGGTGGTCAGTCCCTCAGTCTGGAGAAGAGCATTGTTCCGTTGTCTGAAACAATATTGTTTCAGACAACGGAACAATGCTCTTCTCCAGACTGAGGGACTGACCACCTCAAAACTTTAAGGGTGATGGACTGATTACATCGTCTTCAAGTATCTTCTGCTTCTATCAACTTTTCTGTACTCGACTGAAGAAGCCTACTGTGTAGGCGAAACGTTTCGAAATAAAGATACCTAACTGTTGCATATGTGTCTTACCTAACAAGTCCAGCCTTGCTGGTTCATCCTCTCCTCTCTCTCTTGTAGTGTCCCTTACGTGTTGGTACATGAAGTTTTCCAGTACCACCTCCATCATCTTAGCCCTCCATGTATCTTGGCCCCCATGCGGGTCCAAGTTCTCCCAATCGAACTCCTTGTGGTTAAAGTCACCCATGATCAGGAGCTTTGCCCTGCATGCATGAGCTCTTCTGGCCACTGTAGCCAGTGTGTCAACCATCGCTCTATTGCTCTCGTCGTACTCTTGCCTTGGCCTCCTGCTGTTCTGTGGTGGGTTATACATCACTGCTATTACCACCTTGGGACCTCCAGAGTGAAGCGTTCCCGCTATGTAATCACTTTCTTCTCCACTGTCTCCTCTCTCCAGCTCATCAAAATTCCAGTGATTTTTGATCAGCAATGCCACTCCTCCACCCCCCCCCATTCCCTCTGTCTTTCCTCAGGATTTGGTATCCCGTTGGAAAGATGGCATCTGTTATCATACCTGTAAGCTTGGTTTCTGTGAGAGCTATAATGTCCGGTGATGCCTCTTTGACTCTTTCATGCCACTCCTCCCACTTATTTGTTATTCCATCAGCGTTTGTGTACCATACCTTCAGTTTCCTTTCCAACACTGTGGTTTGGGGGGGCCTGTGAGGGAGACCTGGTAGCATACTGTGGGATTCTATAGCTCGGTGTTGGGTGGAGGCTGTGGGTATGGATTGTAGTGTGTGTTGGGATGGTGTGATAGGTTGTATGGTTCTGAGAATAGTTGTGTGTGTGCTTGCCCTTGCTGTTCTGTTCTGCTCTGACTGACCTTTGCTGGTTCCATCCTTGTCTCTTTTCCTAGCTCCTTTCGCTTTTTTGTCCTCTCCCTCAGCTGCTGTCGTTCTGATTGTGTTCCGTCTCTGTCTAGGAACACCCTCTTGTACTCTTCCGAGTATTTCAATCATGGTTTCTCTTGGAGGATCCTGTTCCGCACTGTTTCCGTCCTGAGAATCAGCTTGATTGGTCGGTTTCTTCCCTTCGAGTACCCCCCTATTCTCTGAAAATTTACAATCTCGTCCCTCTCTTCACCTATTTCCGTGATTTTCTCAATCTCCTTTCTTTCTTCCTGCTGCCTTTCAGTGTGTGTCTTTTCCTCTCTCTCCTGAAGCCCATGGATAAACACTGATTTTGCCCTTTCCTCCTCCCATTGCCTCACCCTCTGTGACTCTGGATCCTGCCTGTATGTGGTCAGTTTCTCCCTTGATTTTTTCCAGTGGCTCTTGATAGCATGGTTGTGCCTCAGCATTCGACCTATCACCCTCTCCATCTGCACCCAGCTGTTCTTCCCTTTCACTCCTTGGCAGGCTGATATGACCTTAGCATAATTCATAATTCCTTCCTTCCTGTTCGGCCTCGCAGCTTCATATGCTGTGTCTTCTCTGGTCACTGCCCCTGTAACTCGCTTCAGCCTATTTATCTCAACTTCTAGGACCCTTATCTTGGCTACTGCAGTTTCGACTTGTGCCTTGTGTATGTGTGTGTGTGTGTGTGTGTGTGTGTGTGTGTGTGTGTGTGTGTGTGTGTGTGTGTGTGTGTGTATGTGTGTGTGTCTATGTGTGTGAATGTATGTGTGTGTGTATGTATGCGTATGTATGTGTGTGTGTATGTATGCGTATGTATGTGTGTATGTATGTGTATGTATGTATGTGTGTGTGTATGTATGTGTGTGTGTGTGTATGTACGTGTGTGTGTATGCATATGTGTGTGTATACTCACCTATTTATGATTGCACTTGTCGAGTCGTGTGGTGTGTGGTGTGTGTGTGTGTGTGTGTGTGTGTGTGTGTGTGTGTGGTGTGGTGTGTGTGTGTGTGTGTGTGTGTGTGTGTGTGTGTGTTTCCCTTAAATTTCAGTGTCATGCATATTATCTTATCTCAAACTAAAACATGACTGACAACCATAAATTTATAGTGAACATAATGAGGGTGTCACTGAAGAGGCTTGATCCGAAACCGGACAATAGCAGCTATGATTCTTGGAACGATCACCAAAAGCCTGG